ACTGGTAGTTTTGAGAAATTGCCTCCTTGGATACAACTTTTGTCTCTTTAGCTTCAAAAATAGACTGTTTTTTAAATCAATAAACAACACCTATTGCCATTAAATGGAGAAGGTGACCACCAGTATCCCTGTGTTATTTCTACAGTCTTTATTAGTCCTTAAGAACCTATTACTGAGGCCTGGCACAGTGGCTCCCTCTGTAACCCTAGCACTCTGGAGGCTGAGGTGGGTAGATTAGAGTTTCAGACCCCTGTCAGCAAGAGTGAGACCCCCAGCTCTAAAATGAGCCTGGTGGTGTGGTGGGCACCTGGAGTCCCAGCTAATATGGAGCCTGAGGGAAGAGGATTGCTTGAGCCTAAGAGTTTAAAGTTGCTATGAGTTATGCACCAAAGCACTCTACCCAGGGCAACAAAGTACAAGTATGTCTCAACAAAAAACAAAAACAAAAGAAAACATAAAAAAAAAGAAGGTATTAATGTTTTCCCATAAAATTCTCAGCGTCCAAAGCTTGTGGCCTATTCTCTTTCTCAATTTGGTAAAACAGTTGGTTCCTATAACCCACCATGCATTCCTTAAGGAGAAGCATGTGCTGAATGCTCCAGGCATGAAGCCTGATACCACAGTTGTACAATATTCACTGCTTACTGCCATACTGCATAAGTCAGACAATATTTAATCTCAAAAGAAAAAGCATGATGATTCACATCCGTAATGCCAGCATGCTGGGAGATCAGGTTGGAAGAATTGCTAGAATCCAAAATTTGAAACCAGCCTGGGGAATAATGAGATACTTTTTGTCAAAACCAAATTAAGAATAATCAGCTGGACCAAATATGGTTTACTCTAATCCCAGCTATCTTGGAGGTAGAGAGAACAAGACAGATGGAGGCTATGAATTATGGGTGAAGGATGGGCTATGATCATACCAGTGTACTTTACCCTGCCTTATAGGCTCCATAAAAATAGTAATAGAAATTAATCTCCAAAGGCAGTGTCCCTTCTTTCAAGAAAATGGCCCAGAAATGAATCCCAGTGATCAACTGCGGACTGTCATTCTACTGATTCTTTCCGAAACACCACAGTGAAAGGTCACTAAGGATGGCATATGAAGACATGTCAAAGTTCAGAGTGAAAGTCATAAAAAGTAAAGTAGCCTTTTCAAAGAACCTCAAATAATGAAACATTGTATAACTTAAATACCCTTGAGTATGTCCATATGTCCTTGTATGTGTGATATGTGTCATGTCATGCTGGTTAATCTATTTTGATTTATAGTTAGTCTCCACCATGTAACATCAGACATTAAATACTGGAGAACTGGAGACTGCTTTATTTCTTGTGCAAACTCTGATATTCCACAGTAATGGTCCTTGGGTATTACTCACATGATAAACATTTCATTTGGGTGGTTTCATGGAAGATGTACTTTGGTTGTATAATGAGGAGTGAGTGGTTAGGCCTGGATAAAGCCCAGCCACATTCTTTGCATTTATTTGTTTTTTCTTTAGTATGGACTCCGTGATGCTGACTAATGATGGAACTCATGATGAGAAGTTGTTACCCTCAATGAGTCTGCAGAGTCACAAATGAATTATCTGATCCTATGCAAGGTGCAAAATGTGACTAAAGGCCTTAGTGTGTACATTCCATTTGTAAGGTTTCTTGCCTGTGTAAATTCGTTGATGACTTTTGAGGTACAATTTTAAACTGAAGACCTTGCCACAATCATTAGATTTGTAATGTTTCTTTCTGGTATAAATACTGAGGCTAACTCTTAAGGATACTGTCTGCCTAGAAACCTTATTCATCACACTGATACAGTTTATTTACATTATGAATAACCTGAGGTACATGAAGGTTTGAACATAACCTAAACTAGTCCTTTGCAAAGCTCCTCTCCTGTATGAATGCCCTGATGGTGTATAAGGTCTCTTTTGTGAGCAAAGGCCTTGCCTCACTCATCGCATTTCTAAGGTTTCTCTTTAGTACGTGTTTTTAGGTGAACTATAAGTGATATCTTGTGTCCGAAGGCCTTGTCACCTTCAGTACACTTGTAACCTTTCTCTCCAGTGTTTCCCGATGAGCTGTAAGGGTCTTCTTCCATATGCCAGCCTTATTACATTCATTACACTTGTAAGGTTTCTCTCCAGTATGAATTCAGAGACGAACTGTTAAAGATGCTTTGCCCGTAAGAACTTTGTCACAATTATCACATTTATAGAGTTTCTCTGCATTACGGATAACTTGATGTATATGAAGTTTCAAACATGAACTCAATTTTTTCCCACTGTCACTGCATTTACAAGGCTTCTCTCCTGTATGAATGCCCTGATATTTTACAAGGTATCTTTTACAATGGAAGACCTTGCCACACACGTTCCATTTGTACAGTCTCTCTCCAATATGTGTTTTTTTCCTCATGAACTATAAGGGATATCTCTTCTCTAAAAGCCTTGTCACAGTCATTCTCTTTGTAAGGTTTCTCTTCAGTATGAAAGCCCTGATGTCGTGTAAGGTAGGAATTGAATCTACAGACCTTACCACACTCATTACATCTATAAAGTTTCTCTCCTAGGAGTATGGCTTCTCCAATGTTCTATAAAGTCTGAATTTGGCCTGAAGGCCTTGCCACACTCTTCATATGTCATAACTTTCTTTCCAGTATGAATTACTCCATGGTTAGGAGGCCTTAAAGACCCACTAAAGGCTTTGCCATGATCATTATGCCTGTATGGTTCTTCTCTAACGAGTGCATTCAGTTCTTGTATGACTATGGAGAATTCCTAAAATCATTCTTGTATTTATTACGTATGTGGGTTTTGAGTATAGAAGGAATATTTTCAAGTGGGGAGCATGAGGTAATATGGTTGAGAGAGTTTTCAACTTCACTCCCTTCATCAATTTTACCTTCCACTTGAAATGGCAGATGGGAGTGAATCTGAGTTGATCTTTAATAGGCTTGTATCTTGTAACCTTTCCCAATACACAGCTCCTCCATAAAAAGAAAAAGAGGGGAACTTTAACCAATGGCTCTGGCATTTCTGGAGTCTGAACATAAGACTAGGATCTGGGCTCGGCACCTATAGCTCAACTGGCTAAGGCGCCAGCCACGTACACCTAAGGTGGCGGGTTCGAATCCCCAGGCCGGGCTCGCCAAAACAATGATGGCTGCAACCAAAAAATAGCCGGGCGTTGTGACGGGTGCCTGTGGTCCCAGCTACTTGGGAGGCGGAGGCAGGAGACTCGCTTGAGCCCAGGAGTTGGAGGTTGCTGTGAGCGTGATGCCATGGCACTCTACCCAGGGGGATAGCTTGAGGCTCCGTCTCAAAAAAAAAAGAATAGCCGGCCGTCGTGGTAGGCACCTTTAGTCCTGGCTACTTGGGAGGCTGGGGCAAGAGAACTGCTTAAGCCCAGGAGTTTAAGGTTACTGTCAGCTATGAGGCCACAGCACTACCCAGGGCGACAGCTGGAGACTCTGTCCTTCCAAAAAAATAGCCAGGTTTTGTGGCGTGTGCCTGTAGTCCCAGCTAGTTTGAAGGAGGAGGGAAGAGAATCACTTAAGCCCAATAGTTTCAGGGTTCTGTAAGCTGTGATGCCATAGGGCGAAATAGTTAGACTATGTCTCAAACAAAAAAACACTACTATTGCCTTTTTGAAAAAGAAGTATGGAGAATCCTCAAAGAGCTAAAAGCATACCTCTTCATCTGGCTTTTCATCTATATCCTTTCAGACGTCTCTTATAATCAACCACAGGCATAGACAGTATGTCACTGAGGACTGTGAGACAACCTAGCAAATAATCACACCTGAGAACAGCCTCAAGGCACCTCCACCTTTACAGCTGGTTGGTCAGAAGGAAGAGGTGACAACCTCCGACTTATGAGTGGAGTATTAGGTGGGGAGCAGGCTTGCAGACTCAGCCTGTGATATCAGACTCTGTCTAATTCAGGTAAACTCTTTCATGGCCACCAAAAATTTGGTTATTGGTGGGAAGAAACCCAACACATTTTGCTGACCAGAAGAGAGACATCCTGTGCTGAGTATTAGGGGAGAACATAAAAAACTTTGGCTTTCTCTTATCTCCAACTGATCTGAACAGGCGGAGAGGGCGAGAGAGAGCTCCATGCTATTTCCCAGCCCCACATGCAAAGAAAGAGCAGCCAATGTTTTCCCATATCCTGATCAGGTCTTCCAAGTACAGGAAATGGAGTAGCAACCAAAGAGGTCAAGGTCTCAGGTCTTTGGTGTCTCAGCTCTGACTTCTATGGACAGAGAACTGAGCACCAAATGGAACAAAATACAGACAGATACACCACAAGGCAAAAGAGATCCTTTGAAATGACCCTCCATGTGTCACACACATTCACAGCACCTAAGAGGTCACAGAGGTCTTGCCTGATAAAATTAAGAATTTGCCTTAGTCTCTGTTTGAGCTTAGCAGTACTGAAGGGTGAAAAATAAACTTTCCACGTCTAAAGAACACAGTGGTAACCTGAGACAAAGATTCCTGCTTAGGGCCGCACCCATTGCTCAGTGGGTAGGGCACTGGCCAATACACCAAGGCTGGCGGGTTTGAACCCAGCCCTGGCCATCTATAGAACAACAGCAGTCATGGGAACCTTGATTTGTAGGCAGTTGGTAAGAAGGAGATGTGACCACCTACCGCTTGCAACTAGTGACTGGAGTACAGGACAGTTTTGGGAACCTGAACCTTAACCTGTGGGATCTGCCTCCAGTTTCAGGTAAATAATCACAACTAAATTGCATTACAGGACACCCAGTTGATATGGGTCAGGAAATTGGTTGTGGGAAGAGAGAAATCTGCACACATTTTTGGGACCAGACGGCAGTGTTTTGTGATGAGCAGAGTGTGCGAGAAGAAAAAAATGCCGTGGCTCTTTCCTATCTCAGATAGATATGCACAGGCAGAGAGGGTGGCAGAGAGCTCATTCAGTTTCCTGACCCCAGATGCAAAGAAACAGCAGTCAGTGTTTGCCCACATCCTGATCAGGTCTTCCAAGTACAGGACATAGCGAAGAACCTGAATAGGGCAAGGTGTCGGGTCTATGGAGGCCTCAGCTCTGACCCCTAAATAAACAGAACAGAGCACCAGATAGAATCAAGTACAGAAGGACACACCACAGGGGAAAGAGACCTTTTGAAACAGCCCCTCATGTGCCATAAATGGAGAAGGGAACCAATTCACCAAAGCAAGACGACAGCATGTTGTCCATCACAATGAAGACTTTGGCTTTGTCTCTGAGCTGTAGCACCAATGAAGGGAGACAAAATAAACCATTACATGTGTAAAGAAGAGAGTGACAAGTGGGGACAAACAAAGGCTTCTGTTCAGAGCTCACAGGATTTAAACTTTTATTGTACCGCAGAACTCTTTGGCATGAGGAGAGATTCCCGAACAATATTTAATGGTGCACTTTTCTCTCTGCCCATTGGAGCTCTTACCTGTTATCACCCTTGATAAGCCAAAGGAAAAAGACGCAAATAACATAAAGGGGTTTATTCTGAGACAAGTATGTGGGACCATCACCTGCATAAACAGCCACACCCAAGAAGCCTTGAGCAAGTGCTCTCCCCATGGCTGGGTTAGAGTTCAATTTTACATGTCAGGAAGACAGGAAAGACATGTAAAGTCATAAATCAATACATGGAAGGCGTACATTGATTTGAACTGAAAAGGCTGGACATCTTAAAATAGGCCATTACACGTTGTGGGGGGGGGTTAGAAATTCTTTGATTTGTAATTGTTTAAGGAAATGGGAATAACTTAAGTAAACTGATGACATGCAGGTGTGGTTTAAGTTTTGTCCAGCACAGCCTTAGCCTGTTAATGAGCTACAAAGAATATCTTCAAGAAGGGAAGGGGGAGCATGTTTCTGGCCCTTCCTTCTCCGGGCCAGAAACTCAACTTTAGGGTATTTCTGGGGTCCTCTTGGCAAAGAGGTGGGTCCATTTTGTCAGCAGAGGGGGCTTAAGATTTTATTTAGGCTGGAAGTGCTGGCTCAGGTCTGTAATGCTAGCACTCTGGGAGTGTGAGGTAGATTTGTTGCTTGAGCTCAGGAGTTCCAGACCAGCCTAACCAAGAGTGAGAGCCTCTCTCTACTAAAAATAGAAAAACTAGACAGGCTGTACTGGTGGGTACCTGTAGTCTTACCTCCTCAGAAGGCTGGGGCAGGAATGTCCCTTGAGACCAGGAGTTTGAGGTTGCTATGAGCTATGATGCCATGGCACTCTACCCAGGGCAACAGAGTAAGACTCTGTCTATAACAAAAAAAAAAAAAAAAAGTATTGTAGTTCATAGATACTTTCCTACCCATCTAGAGTTTTTAGCTATTTCCACTTTACTCTCCTGAGTCCACAGCCTCTTCCTTGCTCCAACATGGACATAACCCTCAGGTTATGAGAGATTCCTGCTGATAGATATAAAAAATAAAGGAACATCAAGTCCTGGCACTCTTCCCAAATTACAGAGAGATCTAAGGAAATATTTCACAAATTCATCCACTGAATGTCCACTTCTGAATGCTGAGGGAATAGTGTAAGATGCCTCTGTTCAGTGGACTTCCTAAAAACTACTAAACCAAAAGCACAGGGGTAGAAAATAAAGGATTGGCTATTTAAAAAGTCATGTGAGTTACACACAACCAGAAAAAAAAAAAAAAAAAAAGTCATGTGGTTTCCAGCATATCTCAGCCCTGGTATGGTGAAAGGTACAGATAACATAAACAAAGGGACAGGGAAGGTCCGGTTGGCACATTACGAAGTTTTTCATTTCTGAATAAATATGTCTTCGATCTCAGTCAGGAATGTAGGGTGTTCCAAGAGTCAATCAGGGAAAATAGAAAGAAATGCAAGGATAGATCTTAACTTCTAGAGAAATGTAATCCTCACCCACGAAGACCAGGTTCCTGTAGTTTTCCAACATCACGTCCCTGAATAAAGTCCTCTGAGCAGGGTCCAGGCACATCCACTCCTCCTGAGAGAATTCTATGGCCACATCCCTGAATGTCAAAGGCCTCTGAAATGAAAACACATTTTACTGAAGGGTTACAGGTATGGCTCTTATATTTACACAAAAAGAGGAGAAGACAGAGGTAAGAGGATGGACTCATTCAGGTGACTGTTCCTACAAACCCAGATAAAGTATTTCTGAGCACATTATCCATACTTCTGTTTTACTGTACTCTAGCACAAAGGTTCTAATACCCTCTCAATGAGAGTATTTCTCATTCTTGTGGACAATTTAAGAAATAGACAAACTGGCTCGGCGCCAGCCACATATACCTAAGGTGGCGGGTTCGAATCCAACCAGGGCCTGCCAAACAACAATGATGGCTGCAACCAAAAAGAAAAAAAAATAGCCAGCCGTTGTGGCAGGCACCTGTGGTCCCAGCTACTTGGGAGGCAGAGGCAGGAGACTCTCTTGAGCCCAGGAGTCGGAGGTTGCTGTGAGCTGTGATGCCATGGCACTCTACCCAGGTAGGATATCTTGAGGCTCTGCCTCAAAAAAAAAGAAATAGACAAATAAAAAAATCAATGCAGGGCTATCTCTGTAGGGTGTTAGGTACTATTTTGGACACAGAAAGTGACATTCTTTGTTAAGATGAGCTAAAGGATGGGTGCTAACTTCAGAGATGACAATATACATAGTGCCTTAAAAGAAAGGTCAGAATCTAAAATCTGAGATGATGGCAGCAAGAGCAGTGACTGAAGCTTCTGAGCACTTCCCTGTGCTAGGCGTTATGCTAAATCCCATATACCAACATAATACCCTGGAGAGAAAGCTCTGCTGCCATTTTACTGAGAACTGTGTCATATATGGGTGTCTAATCTTTTTTCTCCTGCCATACTTTGAAGAAGAATTCTTTTGGGCCACCCATTGAATACAAAAACACTAACAAAAGCTGATGAGCAAAGACAGGGCTGTGAATGATTTTTGCAAAATCCTACACCACAGATGAGCAAAACAGTTCTGAAATGATCGACATGCGGTGCCCAGGCCTCAGGTTGGACACCCCTGATTATACTCTAAGAAAAAATAGTAGACAACGTTAAGCACACCTTTACAATAAAAACCACTAACCAAGTAGCAACAGGAAAAAAACCAGAAGACATTGAGCTCGGGAAGACTTTCTGCAATATAACACCAAAAGCACAAGCAAGAAAAGCTAACACAGACAAAAGAAACTAGATCCAAATAAAAAACTGCTATGCATCAAAGTGATCAACCAAAAGAGGGAAAAGCAATCTATGGAATGGGAACAAAGATTTAGAAGTCATGTCTCCGATAGCGGTTCATATCCATATTATATGAGGAACTTCAACAACTTTACCACAAAAAAAGAAATAAACCAATTATAGAATGGGCAAAAGCATTTCTCCAAAGAAGATAAGCAAATGGCCAATAGCCACATGAAAAGATGCTCATCATCACTGATTAGAAGACAAATGCAAATTAAGAAAAACTTGACAGCATACTCAGGCCATTAATGTTAGAACAGAAAATCCTAAGTCCATGTGGAGAAGTGGGAACTCTCATGCACAGTTGCTGCAAAGGTAAAATGGTGCATCCATCATGTAAGCCAGCAAGGGGATGCCTCAAAAATTCAAAATACAACTCCCACAAGATTCAGTAACCCCACTTTTAGCTGTGTATATGTGAAAGTTCAAAAGGTATCTGCACACCTAAGCTTATCATAGCATCATACACAATAGCCAAGACGAGGAAGGAATGAAAATGTGATCTACAGATGAATGGGCAATGAGAATACAGTATATGCACGTAATGCAACATTATTTAGCTTTTAAAGAAAAAAAAGGAAATCCTGTCACATGCTACAAAATGGAAGAACCTCGAGGACTTTATGCTAAGAAAAATATGCCAGTCACATAAAGACAAATAGTGTGGGATTCTGCTCCTATGGAGTATGTAACGTTAACTTCTTATAAAGATACCATGACAGATGGCAGAGAAATGAAAAGTCAGAGGGGGAATTGGTGTTGCTGGGCATACAGTTTCTCAGTATGACAAACTTTGAGGAACATGTAGCACAATAATGGGAATATACCTAACACTGCTGAACTGTGAAGACGCAAAGAAACAAACTTTACTAAAGGACATGTCAAAGACAGGATTAAGGACGGGCAAACGCAATCCTCATCAGAACACGTGGACATGTAAAGACCTCTGTGACGAGGAGTCCAGAGCCATTCAAAGACAAGGAAAATACTGGGGCGTCAATGAAGCTCTGTCACGTCAAAAAAGAACAAATGTAATTGTGAAAAAGAAGAAAATGGAGGGATTTACCAACCTAAACACAAACCCCTTAGGACATTAAATACCTAAAATAAGATCTACATAATAATTCAAATTAGACAGAAACATAAAATGTTACCTAGTAAAACTTTAGACTCAACGAAATACAGTAGTTTGTGATCATGAAAAGACTTGCAAAGAAAAAAAAAAAGGCACAAGAAAAACCAGGTGGTAATTAGAAAAAACAGATTTCTGTTTCACATTTTTAAAATGCACAATTTATAAAACACCACCAAGATATGTATAAAGCATATAAATCAAAGAATATAAAATAGATCCTAAAATATGTGAAAAGAAAATTTGTTTAATGAGGGATAAATCTCACCTGCTGTGTGGAAAGTGGGCTGTGAGACTGGCAGGGAAACATTCAGAGAATAAACTCCCAACTGTTTATAATAAACTCCCAACGGATCCTCCGTTCCCAAAACAGCCATATTCCTTTCTTCCTGCTGCCTCTGCCAGAACTCACGTAGCCCTTTCATATGCTAACAAAGTTATGCAGTAGCCACTAAGTCACATAGTTCTTCCTTTGTTTGTTTGTTTGGTAGAGACAAAGTCGTGGCGACACACAGTTCACGGCAACCTCCAACTCCTGGGCTTAGGCAATTCTCTTGCCTCAACCTCCTGAGTAGCTGGGACTACAGGGGCCTGCCACAACGCCCGGATACTTTTTGTTATGGTTCGCCGGGCCGGGTTTGAACCCCCCACCCTTGGTATATGGGGTCAGCATGCTATTCACTGAGCCACAGGCGCCGCCCTCTTCCTTTGTTTTGTTAACTATGCTGGGATCAGCGTGTTCCTTCCCTTCTTGCTTCTTGTCATATGTTAACAAAGTTGAGTAGAAACCATTAACAAGATGGTTTGTCTTTGTTAAAGTTATTTACATTTTCCTACTATACTGTAAGACCAAAACTATGTGTTTTGTTTATGCTATTTCCCCATACTGTCTATGCTACCTCCGCCGGACAACCCTGTACAGATACTATAAAATAAAGCTGATTTTGTGCTTTGGTGCTGGCTGTAGCCATCAGCTCAGTCAGTCCTCCCAGTTTCATCCTTTATTTCCATCTTTTCTCTTATAGTGTATTTTTCTCAGTCCCCACCAGTTCCACTCTGGTTCGCTCCTCCTCCCAGAGATGGTTAATATTGCTCTGGGTAGATTCTCTAGATGCAGCTTCACTAATCCTGGTCTACAGAGAGCGCCAGTGCACCCAGATGTGGCCCCTAAACAGTCCCTGCTGCCCCACAGCACTGATACCACAGGGGCCACATCCCCTTTCTAACTGATGTCCTTCCCAGGGCCCTGCCTAGTGGAACCTCTGCATAAGCTCAAGTCACTGAGTCATGGGGAGAAGAACTGAGGGACAGTGAGGTTGAGTTGCTGCAAACACGACAGGGTGCAGAGTCAGAGATCAGCCAGTCCAGCGCCAGCATTTCAGAAAGGAGGGGGACTCAGACAACCACCAAGAACATCACTGTACCTGAGACACAGCCATTTCTGAATCCTTTTCTTTCCTCTTCTGGGCTGCTTCTTTATGTAACTGGATTATTTAGAAGTCAATCCTGAATAAGAAAAATACTCTGCTTATTGTTTAGAATCAACACACTCCCTCCTTGTGACACAATCACTCACACAGGGAAGACTGCCCTATGGAAAGGCAGGTCCTTTGCTGCCCACTGTACTGAGAGGGATGCAGGGACAATACGCTCCTACAGAAAGACAAACTAGTGATTCTCAGACTCCTGGAGACTCACCACACTCTACAGCAGAGGGGAGCTGGGCCGCAGTGAGTTCTCCTCTAGGCACAGCCCCAAAGCCAAGGCAGAACACAGCCTCTCACCCCTCTGTGATCGCAGACTGACCTCATCCCTCAGTAGTAGACACAGAGACCTGATGCTCAGTGCTGGACATAGACTGGACATACCTAGTCACTGGAACTATCACTGGAGGTGGGTCCCCACCTGACTATGTGCCTGGGAAGGGGATAGGAGCCACGTAATTGAAAAGACTCCACATGGGTGGTGCCCGTGGCTCAGTGAGGAGGGCACAGGCCCCATATATTGAGGGTGGCAGGTTCAAACCTGGCCCTGGCCAAACTGCAACAAAAAATAGCCGGGCGTTGTGGCAGGCATCTGTGGTCCCAGCTACTTGGGAGGTTGAGGCAAGAGAATTGCCTAAGCCCACGAGCTAGAGGTTGCTGTGAGCTGTGACACTATGGCACTCTACAAGGGCAACATAGTGAAACTCTGTCTCTAAACAAACAAAAAAAAGCCTTCACACTCTAATGTGATGCCAGCCTGAGCTCCACTAGGAGGGACAAGGCCAGGGCCCCTCCTACCTTTTGTCTGTGCTTTCCCCTTAAGAGACTTGTCGCCAGTGTCCTCACAGCAGATGGCGAGGGACCCAAAAGAAATATATAGTTCAACCAATATGGACTACCAGGGGCTGAGTGGGGTGAAGAGGTGGCTGAAATATTAAATAGGAGACAGAAGTTCTCAGTGAGAAGGTGCATCAGAACAAACACATAAGAATGGAAGGTTGGGGCGGCACCTGTGGCTCAAAAGAGTAAGGCTCCAGCCCCATATGCTGGAGGTGGTGGTTTCAAACCCATCCCCGGCCAAAAACCACACACACACAAAAAAGAATAGAAGGTTGTTTGTTGCCTGCAGCCAAAGGGCAAGAGAGTTCTAGAAAGACAGAC